TGTTGTCAGGACCACAAGCTGTTGAAGAGTCTAAGCAGGAAATTACTTTAGATACAGAAGCTGAAGTGATGCGAATGTCAAGCAAGGGATCAACCTGTTTGACGGCTATGTCAGGTAAAACGCAACTAGTGGAATCAAGAGATGATATTGATGAAAAGTTCTTAGCAAACAATTCAGCTTTGTCTTTAGGTGAGGTGACAAAGTCTGAACCATACAAGAGAGAAGGAATAACAGATTTGCCCTTATTATTGATACTGTTAAAGATTCTCCAGAAGTCTCGAGAGCCTAATTTTTGTGATGAGATACGAGATTTAATGACCTGGGAATAGCGAGCTTTGGCGTCAGACAAAACCTTTTTACAATGGTTTCTGGCAATAGTGAACAGATGTCTGTTTTCTGGAGAATTGTTTTGCTGATAGATATGGAAGTAACGGTTTCGATTAGAAATTGCTGCAGCGCAATGTGAGGAAAACCAAGGAGAAGAGTGAGGCTTGACCTGGAATCGTCGAGAGGGAATAAAAGATTCCATGCCAGCCTGAATCCACGAAGTTATGTAAGAAGCACATTTGTCAGCAGGAAGACGAAAGATTTCTACCCAAGGGCCATCACGAAGAAAATCACGGAAAGAGTCCCAGTCAGCTTTAAGGTAGTTGTATGTGGTACAATGATAGGGGGATTCTGATGAAGTAGAAGAATTTGATAATAGTTTTAGAGAGATCAAACCGTGATCAGAAGTACCTAAGGGTGAATGTGGAGAAATTGAGCACTGACTAGGATCCAAAACAAGACATAAGTCGAGTAGAGAAGGTAAATGATTAGGGTTGTCTGGAAAACGAGTTGGAAAGTTGACTATTTGAGTTAGAGATTGAGAAAGGCAAAAGTTGAGGGCCTTAACGCCAGCAGAGTCACTGACACTAGAGCCAAGCCAATCGGTGTGATGGGCATTAAAGTCACCAACAACGACGATATTGGCCGATGGATAAAGAGAGAGGGCTTGGTCAATTTGATCAGAAATAACATCAAGAATAGTGCAATCTTGGGATGAAGGAGAGCGATATAGAACAAAGAGAAAGGCGATAGAGTGAAGTTGTGCTAAACGAAAGCAAATAAATGAATAGTCTGTAGATTCAAACCTAGTTTCACGACAAATGGGTGAGTTCTTACGAATGTAGATGCCCAGACCAAGCATGTGATTATTGGAGTCTTTACGAATTAAAGGAAGATAACCATCAACACTAAGATCACAAGATGGGACAGCCGAACTCAAATTAGTCTCACAAAGAGCAAGTAGGTCTGGTGAACTTTGCAAGAGATAAGACTCAACAGAAGAAAAGTTACTTCGAAGACCACGAATATTAGTAAATCATAGGTTTAGAGAACTTGGTGATGACGATGGTTTTTTGTGTTTTTTAGTTTTAGGTACTTTAGTCATTTTAAATTTATAAAGAACTTGACTCAAGTATAGATAGTACTCAGTACACTATTTAACAACTAAGCAATAGCCTCATTACTATTAATAAACCCTAAGCCGTAACAAAGGGCTCCAAATGTGGCCTCTGCAATGCACACCAAAAGTACAAACAGGGACACCATCCATGCGCAACATGGCACTGTTAGTACTCTGATATTTTTCGGCTGTTGATGGAATCAGCCTATCTGAGAGCTACCACAGAGTTCGGGAAACCTGACTACCAGCCGGCCTCAGAACCATAAAACTGAGTTTTAGAGCTGTACCCTCATAAGGAGATAATAGAATGAGTTGCCCAGTCATAAAAATAGAGACACAAGCAATACCCACGCATTGAGTCAAGAAGATCCAGCGTTCAACATCCTAAACTGGAAACAATGTATTAAAAATACATCTGCGCCAGCCTAATAGATGAGGAAGGGGTGCGAGGCTGGTCAACAGATAGAATCTGTTTACCCCTTAAGTCTTTGCCTAGGAGGCCTTCTACAAGACAGCAGCTGGATGCATGTAACATCTGCCCAAGATGAGTATTTTTATCGAGACACCATCTCTATGTTAACCATTTTTGGGAGCTTTATCCAAGCAGTCAAACTTTAAGGCCAGAAAATAAATTATTCAAATTTCTTAAAAACAATTGAAATGATCTAGATACTGAAAAACAAGATTTGAAAAGATTATCAACTGCGATTAGTTCCTGGATTAATGAACAAAAGCTGAATGCAATTTAATTTTGCAGATATATAATTAGCACTAAAGTTTTTAAAAAGTTGAGAGTAATAAATAGTTTTATTAAAACCTTTATAAATAATTCAATTAAATCTAATTATTTCAATTAGATTAAAATACAATTTCAAAAAAAATAATAGAGTAAAATAGTACTTCATTTATAATTTTCCAGTTTTATCTGAACTTTAATTTTGTGTTAAGTTATTTAAGTTATCATTAATTGTTAATAAATATTGTTTAGGATGGAAAGTATTATAAAGATTATCAAGAATTGGCTGAACTTATTTTGATGTTACTATCACCCACCGACAGATTCAGACTTCACAATCATGGAGCTGTTCATCATGCCAGATTTATGGGTAAAAGTTTATTTTAGTTAAAACTATTTCTACTCATGGAAAGAATTCCTGAAATCAATGAAGAGAGCAGGGATGAAATCACAGAAATGACAAAGTTTCTTTCTATTTTTTACACTGAGTGGTTTCTCAGAGCCGAGTTAAGTTCAGCTGTTCTGACACAGGTGTACTATCTGAATAGTAGCTTGTAAATAAATATATAATTTTGAATAAATGCATAAAATAGGTACATTATTTTCATAAGTTTTTATAAATCTAAGCTTTAACTATTAGGACATGAAAGTCCTATGGCAGATGAAAAGATTCAACAAATGGAATAAAGCTGGCGCTCAAGCTGTTTCTAAATCCATACAACAATATACTTGGTAATTTGATCCATATTTAGTTATTTTAGCAATTGCAGATAAGAAAAGTCAAAAAAGTGGCGACATGGCTAAGAGACTTATTAGTCTAAAACGAGGTCCCATATAAGATTATTCCTTAGAAAGACAGGTGTTGGATAAAGACACTCTAATGAGTCTAAATTTTTCACAGGATGAGCATCCCAGTTTAGTTCAACTAATTACAGAAAAGTCATAGCTTGTGTTTGACATGCTTGGTCATGGAAAAACTGAGACTCAATGGATGAATCTCCAGAGTATTGGATTTTAAATGTGTTTTATCAAGTTTTATCAATGATTGTTCAGAGAGAACAGTCAAGTTAGTTCAACAACTTGTTAACAAAGTACATTCCGAAAAGAAAAGACATTTCTTTTAACTCATGTAAACAAGAGAAATCGAAATGGAAGAAAAAAATTGGATCATGCCGAAGCCGCACTAAATAGTATTATTTAATATCGACGATTTGATTCAATTTGTTTTGAAACAATGGTAAATTTTTTACTTTTGTTTTGAACTGGTACTATTACTTTTTATCGTTTATAAAAAAAAAAACGTAGCGTTTATTGTTTTTAAACAAATATTGCATAATTTTGGTGATTTTCAAAGTTTTTTTAATCTTAAAATTACCTAAATAAGTAATTATGAAAAGAGCCCCTTAAAGTTAAGTAGAAGGACTCATGTTATTAGATAGATCAATTTTTAAATTAGTTGAGATTTAAGGGTCCCACAAGCGGGGCAAAGTTTTCCTAAAAAAGGGGCAAAAATCGACTTTTTTGCTCTCTGTGGGGACCTTTCCGATACTCAAAAAAAATTTTGTAAAAAATTTTAAGTACTAATTTGGGGTCAGGGCAGATCATAAGTTAGGGCTCTTATCAAAATTTTGACATGACCTATTTTTGAATAACCCTAATATATATATATATATATATATATATATATATATATATATATATATATATATATATATATACAACATATTATGAAACCACAAGCAAAAAAATGAATACTTTTGGTGAAATTCTTGACTGGACCGTTTATGCGATATCTGAACAACAAAACATTTAAATCAAATATTGTTTTTAGTTTTGGATTCATCATTATCGATTTAGTATAAAAACATCAAAATTTTAATTTTGGCCTAAAATCAAGTTTTTCAGACCACTGTGCAGCTAATAAAATGTCATTTTTCACGGAACCGTCTTCGTAACAATATAATATTCAATAAGCTACCACGTAGTTATCTTCTTTTTTTGATTAATGTTTATTCCTCTTCCCAAGGCTAAAAAGGCCACTACAGGTAAGGAGGTTAGTTTTTAATTGCACTTACAACCCTTTCTCACATCTATAACTCCGAAACACAAACGTTGACGAACAAGGCCGTTGTTCGGAAAAACAAGTTAAGGGCGGTTGTACTAGCTACGCGGTGGAGATCAAAGACGTTTCAAATCGTCATAAGCAAATCAAAGCATTGTAAATAGAAGATAAAAGTTCAGAAAATTTTGTAAACTACATTTACTGATTTAGAGTTAGTTTACAATTTTGTTTAATTGAGTTGTATTTTTTGAAACGGTTATTAATAAATGTAAAGATAAGAATTGCATATAGATTAGAATGTGTAGTATTTTTGCCGGATTTACAAAAAGGTAAATATTTCTATGTTTAAAAACAGCTATTTGTACCCGGCAAAAATAACAAAAAGATAAAATCCTGGTGGTAGTTAACAAATTCCTTGACCCCCAAAAATTGTTCTTTAAAAACCTAACGGATCTATACTTAAACAGGGAAGCAAAATGTTCAAAGTAAGAAGTAGTAGAGATTTTTTAAAACTTTATTATCAACCTATAATCCTACTATCAGGTACATTTTGGATGCAAAGGCGCCATTTTGACTACTAGAATAATTTTACTTCAAAGACTGTAAAGCCGAATATTTCTCGCATTAGTACAAAATTCCGCGACAAAAAAAAAAGGACTATAGTACCTTAAAAACAAATTCAATTTTTATAAAATTTCACAAATGCGCTATAAATAGGTTTAAGGAAAAACAGTTTTCATTCAATACAAATAAAATAATTTTAAAAAATTTCTTGTATGTATTAATTCGATTGGACAAAGTTCAATAAATAACTTAGTGAATATATAATATATAAAAAATAAAAATCACAATTTGTATTAAAAAGTCAGAACTAAAAAGTTGAGCAAGATGATATAAAATTTTTGGCAAAATTTATTCAGATGCGCATAAATTGTCTAATGATTCAAATATTATAATTATATATTATAACTGTTCAAATTGCAAAACGAAATTAACTAAAAAAAAAATGTCTTAAGGGAGAAAAACTGACATTACCTAGCTGCTACACGTTCATAAAAAAGCAAATA